TACCTAACATGCTCTTTTCTCTAAAACTATGATAATAAAAACCTGTGTTTTTTTTTGTATTGATTACAGCTCTTTTTAAAATATCATTAGTAAAAGATTACCAGGCCAGAGCTGTGTTAATTTCTGTAAACCATTAGGTTATGTCTATAGTAATAAATACAAATGGAAAAAAGTTAAAGTTTTTGATTAGAATCAATTAACATTAAAACATTTTCATTTGTTGCTCTTCTATTCTGAAAATGAAATATTACAAATGGCTATAAAACTAGAACAGATTGAGCAAGTAGACATAGTTTTATTATAGATAGATAGAAAACAAGAGAATCTTTAAAAACCATGGCTTTAATTAGATCTGAAATCAGTCAAGAGTTGGAGCTATGAGCTAAAAGTTTATATTTGATAAAAACTCAGAACCATTCTATGAGCAGCTAAAAAACAAAAACAAAACTAGAACAGATAGAGAAAGTAGACTTAGGTTTTTTGATAGATGCATAAAAAAATAGGAAATTATTACATCAAAAAGTGATTTTCTTACTTCACTTCCACCATATATTGTAAGATACAAAACCATATTTTAAGTTCACACTGTTTTTGTTTTTCTTACAGCGATAGAAAAGGAGAAAGTAAAGAAGAAGAATTATATGGGTATTTCATATCACTCATTTCTCTACCCTAGTGGAAAAGTAGCTATAATTTTGTATTATAATACCTTTGGTGTTTAGTTTTATAACTGTTGGAAGAATAGCTATAACCTGATGTCATAATACCCTTGCTGTTTAGTTTCTAAATGTTGGAAGAGTCGCTATAACCTGATGTCATAATACCCTTGGTGTTTAGTTTCTAACTAATGGAAAAGTAGCTATAATTTTATATTATAATACCTTTAGTGTTTAGTTTTATAACTGTTGGAAGAGTAGCTATAACCTGATGTCATAACACCCTTGGTGTTTAGTGTCTAACTATTAGAAGAGTAGCTATAACCTGATTTCATAACACTCTTGGTGTTTAGTGTCTAACTATTAGAAGAGTAGCTATAACCTGATATTCATAACACTCTTGGTGTTTAGTGTCTAACTATTAGAAGAGTAGCTATAACCTGATATCATAACACCCTTGGTGTTTAGTGTCTAACTATTAGAAGAGTAGCTATTACCTGATATCATAACACCCTTGGTGTTTATTGTCTAACTATTAGAAGAGTAGCTATTACCTGATATCATAACACCC